GTTACACGCTGGTTTGGTGAGCCCGAGGGATAGGCTGGAGAGGTTGAGGAGGTCAGAGTCGTAGGACAAACGACATTGACGGGAGCCAAGGAGTATGGCTTCCGTCTCGTCAACATTTAGTTGGAGAATGTTTGCGTTCATCCGCATACATGTGGAAGTTTGCTGCGGATGATATCGACAAGAGGGAGCATATAGATGAGGAAGAGGAGGGGGGGGGGGGCCAAGGATGGAGTCGTGTGGTACGCTACAGGTGACCGGGCAGAAAGAGAAACCGTTTGAAGAGACAAAGTGAAGGCGTGCATGCATTTGTCACCTCCCGCTTGGATTACTCCAATGCATTCCTCGCCGGTCTCCCCAGCTACACCATTCAAAAGATCCAGCTCATTCAGAACTCTGCCGCCTGCATACTGACCCGGACCAAACTCCGTACCCACATCTCACCAGTTCTGGCCCAGGCTCCGCTGGCTCCCCATCACCGAACGGATCGACTTCAAGATCCTCACTCGTGTTCAAATCCATTCACCCCCTGGCATCTCCCTACCTTTCCGACCTCCTCTCTCCCCAATCCACCACCCGGCCCCTCCGCTCAACTGGCACCAGCCTCCTGCTCGTCCCTCGCACCCTCCTCCCCACTGTCGGAGGTCGTGCTTTCAGCCACTGCGCCGCAAAACCCTAGAACACTCTCCCTCGATCCCTCCGCCTTGCCCCCTCTCTCCCCTCTTTCAAGTCCCGCCTGAAAACTTTCCTCTTCCACTGTACTTACGAACACCTCCCCCCTCCTTGGAGTCAGGCTCCTCCTGAGGAAGCGGAGCGAGAGGTGAGAGCAAAGCAGAGGGGAGAGGAGGGGGAGTTGAGTGACCAGCAACTGGGTGGGTGTGAAGGGGGTCGAGGCAGCAGGTGGTGGACGTCATAAGAACATAATGCTGGATGAAAAAATGACCAAGGTCGATCTAGTTCACCTTCCACGTTCCTGGCGGTCGCATGCACATACGTCCCGAACTACCTACGTACTATACCCCATAATGTTATTTCCTAAAAGAAAAAAAAATCTCATCTGTGTTTGAAGGAACCAACGTTTCCTGGTTCAACCATCTCCCGAGGGAGCCTGTTCCACAGGTTTGCAATTCGCTCACTGAAATACTGTTCCCGTAGATTTGTTCCGAATTTACCCCCTTTTAATCGCAGGTCGTGTCCTCTGGTTTTACTATTCTGGACTAGTTGACACAGCCCCTGTCATGATTTACATTGTCGAGCCCCTTACAGTCTTTAAGACAGTGATCACATTGCCTCTCAATCGTCTCTTTTCCAGAGTGCACGTGCACAATTGCACGTAGTCACTCCTCATAGTTAGGTCCCTCCATTCCCTCAATCATTCTGGCTGCCCTCCTCTGCGCGCTCTCGATTCCTTCCACGTCGCTTTTGCACTGCAGCGACCAAACCGTACACAATACTCCAAGTACGGTCCCACCAATGGAAGGATTACCCACTATTTCCGCTTGCTAATGATGTTTTGATACATTCCAACATCTGGTTTGCTTTACTCACTTACACACAGCATTGTTGCGAGAGCTTCAATTTACAGTCAAATCGGGACCCCAGTATCATGTTTAACAGGTGATCCTGGTCTCTCTCTCTCCGCAGGTGTGCTGGAGCTGCTGTCTGTGGGGGTGGGCACAGTGGGTGTGCGGGCAGCGGGCACCGGCCTCTTCTTGGCCCTCAGCCCCCGTGGGACCCTGTACGGCTCGGTGAGTCCCAATCCCTCCTCACCCCACTCACCCTCCTCCACAAACCCCCGCCAGCTTACCCCCTCCCGCCACCCCAACCCCCCCATCTTCCTCCCAGATCGTCTCACCCCCTCCCTGGCTCTCTCCCCTAACTACTCCCACCCTCCCCTATGTACACACACACACACTCCCACCCGCACTCCCACCCGCTCTTCTAACGCCAGTGATTCTGACTCCTTGCCTCTGCAGAAAACCTTCACCAAGGACTGCTTATTCCGAGAGAAGATGGAGGAGAATTATTACACCACCTACTCGTCGCACTCACACCCACGACTGTACATCGCTCTCACCAAACGAGGCAGTGCCAAGAACGCCCACAAAGCCCGGAGCCACCACCCCAGCACACACTTCATCCTGCGGCTTGTAGGCATGTCCTAGCCCCGCTCCCAGCCCCAGCCTCACACAGAGAGTGACTCATCTCACACTGAGTGAGTGATGCACATCTCACAGACAGGGAGTGAGTGAGTGAGCAAGTGAGTGAGTGAGTGAGCGAGCGAGCTGCTGCGTGAGGGTGGCTCGGTCATTAAGTTATTTGATTATAAGTGGAGAATATTTTATTGTTTAACATTTATTTAGGAGTGTGAATTTTGCACAATAAACGGGTGGGCGAAGGAAGGGGAGGGGGTATCGAGTGTGGGAAGCACTCTCAGGGTTCACCCCCACCCCACAACCCAGACTGTCACTAAATGGGAAATTGAGCATCCTGTGCAGGCACAGAACGCTATTATGAAGGTCAGCACCGCAGATAAACGTGACCGAACCGATTAGAGAGGAATTCAAATAAAAATCATCATTCACGTAGTTTCCATTCCTCGCATTCCCAGGGCAGAAAAGAGATTGTGTGAGTAAGTGAGCAAGCATTCGAGCAGGATGTTGTGGTGCCTGCCGGCAGCATGTCTGTTATTGGGGGCTGTGTGTGCTGCACTCACCAGCGTGTACACTGGGCTATACAGTGGGGCGGGTGGGGGCCCAAGTGAGACATCATGGCTCTGCAGGGCTAAGAGAAGACATCGAGGTTGTTAATTGGAAATACAAGGGACATCAGGACCAATAGTTGGGGGTCATCGTGGACATCAACATTTGCTTGGACCCGTCCTGAAGGACCTCGCTGAGGTTCAAGGACAGCAAGGTCCCAGTGCAGGTCAAGCTTGTGGCATGTAAGACCTCTTATGCAAACAGTTCTCCTTTGTGATTCAGAGCTCTTGGGGATGCAGCTAGAGATGTGGGAGGGGCGGTATTTACAAAGTCCAGGATCAAGCAGTGAGGTGGATTTGTGGCAAACACAGGAATCGGTCACCTTGATGTTCTTGAGGTCCAAGTCCGGCCTACACTGACCTGTCGCTAAGCACCCTGGTGGCAGAGTGGGCTTCACAGCAAGCACATTTATTTGCCAAGGCCACTGACCGAGGATCTGGATTCATCAGCTGATGCTGAGTAAGCAGCATTGGCCTTGGACCTCGAGAGCACCAAGGTGGCTAGCATGTCACAAGCTTTCTGTAAAGGTCCTCCCACCACGCTGAAGGCAGATCCCTGCTAGATAGCTGATGGAGAAACTCTGAGACTTGGGGCAACAGCTGCTGGAAGGCGTTATCTGGAGTCCACGTTCATCAACACATATTTGTACATCCAGCGCCTGGAATCCACCTTGATTGACCCGCAGAAAGGTAAGCAGCTGCGGCTTAAACTCTGCACCTCCAATTGGTGGAATCATCGCTCAACGGGAAGGGACTTGTGCCCGAGCTGCAGACAGCAAGATGGTGGCAATGCTCTTGTGTAATTCATGCTGAGCTGTGTTGCACGCCGGGAAGCTGGCAGGGAAGCTGGTACCTACAATCCATCTAACGAGGGCTCAAACCCACGCTTGTCAGATTTCAAATGACCAACTGGTGACTATCATCCTGGGGTGGGAGGGAAGGTTAGTGGGATCTCCTTGCAGCTGAACTGGCTGCAAGATGACATGATTGACAACGGAGTGTCGGAACCCAGCCAGACCTCTGTGGTGGTCTCTCGTCCGGTTCCTGAGCCAGACTGGTGCGCAGTATTCCAGGGCACTGCTGATGACAGCACAGCCCAGCCTGGCTTATCGGCAGGACCTGGAAGGGCAGACCAGTCACTGGGGGCAGGGAGTCATCCCACTCAGCTCCTGTTAACCCTGGAAGCCAAAGCCCTGATGGGTAGGGTGGTCCTCGCTGGATACGGGAGTGGTGCTTTGCTGTCGGAGTGAGTCTCACCACAGCAAGTCTGTGAAATCAACTACAAATCTGTTTGTATTTGAATAATATTTCAGATATTTCACTTCTGTAATTTGTGCTTGTGTTGTACAATCTGAGCTATTAGTAAATCTATATTTGTTATATCTGTGTCAGAAACACTAATAACACTTTACAAATGAGGAATGAATATTAAGAGCCTCTCTGGCCCGGCTCCCGGTCTCCCTCAACACGCAGAGGGCCATAACTGACCAACAATCCTCCAAATCAAATCACTCATAGCGGTTTGTGGAACATTGCTGTGTGCAAATTGGCTGTCGCTAAACAATGTAGTTTCTGGCCCGTGGGCCTCTCGCGCTGTTTATCTAACGTTACTGTGGTCGGAACGGTCAGTACATGTGGGAAATGGGCTTTGCTCAACTCAGAGGCCACGCTGTTGCGATTGTCTGTGTCTCCCTCTGTCCATGTATTTGTGAATGTCTCTATATGTGTGTCTCTATGAATTTGTGTATCTCTATGCGTCTGTCTGTGTTTGTATCTCTATGCATGTGCATTAGTGTCTCTGTTTATGAGTGTCATTATGCAAGTGTCTCTCTCTCAGTGCTTGTGAGTGTCTCTATGTGAGTGTGTCTCCTTGTGTGTGTGTCTCTGTGCGCTACTGGCCCTGAGACTCCTGTAGCCCCGCAGTCAAGACGCTGGTCCTGAGTTTCTGTTTCTTGGCCTGCGCTGGTGTCTTTCATACCTTTCTCGAAAACTAATTTCACCTCCTGCCTGAAATGACTCCCGCAAAAGCCACTGTCGTTTCCTCTCCCCCAGGGTCTCAGACCAGCCTCTGATAACTCATCCACTGGTTACATAAAGATTAATGTGTTGTGTGCATATAAAGATTGCTGTGTGGCTGTTGCCGAGAAACCTTGTAACAGAGGTTGCTTTTCTGTGGCTCGGCCGGCGACTCCAGTGCCAGCTGCAGAAATCACTTTTGCAAATAAAAGAAAGGACAATGTGATGTTGTAGAAAACAATCAGCGATTTAATGCGACTGACTGATAACACAGGGCGCTTGTGGGTTTAAACGGTTCCTTGTAAAGCGGAACAGAAACGAATGGTGTAACCAGCTCATACACAGTATCAGTATCACTGACATGACAGTCGCTGTGCAAATCCAAGCACAACCAAGGTGAGCTCAAGCCCTTCCATACGATTGACGCATCTCTCTCCTTGTAACAGGGGGTAACACGAGCGCGCCCGTGCTGTGGCTCGGTTATGACACCAGGAGACCATGACATTTCCTGAACCTTGCAAGTGCACACTGCGGAGACCAACAGAGCTTCCCTGCTTCGCCACACGCCTCTCTCTGTAAATCATTTTAACCTTTATATTTCTTTTATACAATTTATCTACGATCTGACAGCAGAAATCAGCCTCAAGGCTGGGCCCGGTTGTGTAGAGCTTAAGAGAGAAAGAGATCTGTCCCACACCACACCTGCTCACTCCTCCCAGGCCGGTGGTGTGGGGTGGGGGGGTGGGGGCGCGGGGTAGGTATGAAGAGATTGAAAACACGAGTTTTCAGCAGGAAGGGATGAGACTCAGAGTCAGTGACACATCATAGATGGGGGCTGCACATAACGCATCAGCCACTGCCACCGGACAGGGGTGTGTGTATGTGTGAGCTCTCTCTGCCAGGGGACAGGTGTGTATTTGAGCTCTCTCTGCCAGAGGACAGGTGTGTATTTGTGTGTGTGAGCTCGCTCTACCAGGGGACAGCTGTGTATGTGGGCTCTCTCTGCCAGAGGATAGGTGTGTGTGTGTGAGCTCTCTCTTCCAGGGGACAGGTGTGTGTGTGTGTCTATATATGAGCTCTCTCTGCCAGGGGACAGGTGTGCGTGTGGTTGTACAAATCATGAACTTTAAAAAGCAAAAGTGACGACCGCACACCAGCCTACACAGGCCATCGCTCCCTATGGCTCACACACACCCTCTACATCAGGGATACAAAGAGGGAGTAAAACAAGGGGAGGTGAGGGAGTAAAACAAGGGGGGAACGGGGGAAACAAGGGGTAAAACAAGGGGCGGGGTTGATGAGCAGCTCCAGGACGCCATCATTGGAGGTTACAGAAAGTCAGAACTTGGCAGTCGAGGGGCCAAAGAGTCAGAAATACTCGCTGGCTCTGGGCCGGGCTCGGCGGGGGCCACACTGGGGCGAGGGGGAGGCCAGGGCCTTCAGCACCCCGCACCGCGGCTTCTGCTGGGGGTCAAACGCCACGCGGGATGTACCCTCGGGGCTCACTAGCAGGCTCCTGTCCGTCCGCTTGAACTCTGCTCAAGAGAAGATAACACAGCTTTGAAGCCATCTTACGCACTCACTCCCAACTCAGCCGCAACCAGCACTTCCCAGGCAATAACACTAGTCACCGGTTGGGGAGGGGGAGGACACACTAACACTAGCCACTGGGGGGGGGGACCACTAACACTAGTTACGGGCGGGGGGGGGGGGCACTAACACTAGTCACGGGGGGGCCACTAACACTAATCATTGAGGGAGCACTAACAGCGGTCACTGGGGGGGCATTAACACTATTCACTGGGGTGGGGGAGGCACTAACACTAGTCACTTGGGGGGCACTAATACTAACAATGTGGAGTGGGCAGTGTGGGGGGAGTGTGTGTGGGGGGTTGGGGCAGTGTATGTGGGGGGTGAGGGGGCAGTGTGTATGAGGAGTGAGGGGCAGTGTGTGTGGGGGTGAGGGGCAGTGTGTATGAGGAGGAGGGGCAGTGTGTGTGGGGGGTGAGGGGGCAGTGTGTGTGGGGGGTGGGGGGGCAGTGTGTGTGGGGGTTGGGGGGGCAGTGTGTGTGGGGGTTGGGGGGGCAGTGTGTATGGGGTGTGGGGCAGTGTATGGGGGGTGGAGGGGTTCAGTGTGTGTGTGGGGGTTGGAGGGGGGCAGTGTGTGTGGGGGATGGGGGGGCAAGGTGTGTGGGGGCAGTGTGTGGGGGGGGCAGTGTGTGTAGCGTGAGGGGGCAGTGTGTGGGGGGTGAGGGGGCAGTGTGTGTGGGGGGGTGGGGGGGCAGTGTGTGTGGGGGTTGGGGGGCAGTGTGTATGGGGTGTGGGGCAGTGTATGGGGGGTGGAGGGGTTCAGTGTGTGTGTGGGGTTGGAGGGGGGCAGTGTGTGTGGGGGATGGGGGGCAAGGTGTGTGGGGCAGTGTGTGTGGGGGGGCAGTGTGTGTGGCGTGAGGGGGCAGTGTGTGGGGGGTGAGGGGGCAGTGTGTGTGAGGAGTGAGGGGGCAGTGTGTGTGGGGGGTGAAGGGCAGTGTGTGTGGGGGGTGGAGGGGGTCAGTGCGTGTGTGGGGGGTTCAGTGTGTGTGGGGGGTGGGGAGGGGCGGTTTGTGTTGGGGTGGCAGTGTGTGTGTGTGTGTGGGGAGGGGGGGGGGAGAGACCTTACCTGCCATTGTATTGTTTTTCAATCCGAAACGAACCTTCTTGTTGCTAGAAGACGAGACTGTAACCTGCAACGCGTGATAAACAGGATGAGGGGGAGGAAGGGAGCTAGGGGGAGACAGGGAGGGCAAGAGGGTGTGGGGAGGGGGGTGGGGGGAGAAACGAGAGAGAGGAGGGCAGGTGAGAAGGAGCGAGAGAGAGGGGGGGGGTGGGAGGGCGAGAGGGAGGGCAAGAGGGAGATGATGGTGAGGAAGGGAGCGTGAAGGAGGGAGAGTGTGAGTGAGGTAGGGAGGAGACCATGGTTACCTTGTGCCCAGGCTGGGTGGTGTGGTTGGCGCCTTGCGCTCTCCTTAGGAACAAGGACCTGGGTATGGCCGCGCTCTGGAGCGTCACAAAGTCGCTGTCTGGTGTCGGGGTCTGTGCCTTCCTCATGGGGTCTCCCTGCAAACAGTAAACCCGGTGAGCACCTGGTAGGCACCCCCTCGTCCTGGCGTATGGTGTCAGGGACACGAGGGGGTGGCGGGGGGAGAGCGGGGTGGGAGGGTTTTGTGCGCGGTGCGGTGTGTGTGGGCTCGGGTACTGTGGGTGGTGGGGGTGAGGTGGCTGGGCTCATGCGCTGTGTGGTTGGGGGGGGCTGGGCTCATGCGCTGTGTGTGTGTGGGGGTGGGGATGGGAGGCTGGGCTCTAGCTGTCGACACTCACGTTGCTTTGGGGTTTCAGCTTCTTGGCCCCGCGGGTGCCAAGTGGCGGTGCTCTCCGCTTCCCGGGGCCGGCAGCGAGCGCCAGCGATGACACTTTCCTCTTGCTTTTCAACTTCTTGTGGTGAAGCTTAGCTTTGGGGCCGTGTTGCTGTGGGGCTGGGGGCTGCGGGGCTGGGGGCTGCGGGGCTGGGGACTGCGGGCTCTGCTCTGAGGCTCCGGCCAGAATGTTGCCGTTCAGCAGCACAGCCTTCGCCTTCTGCTTCTTCTTTCTCCTCTTCACGACGAGGGTTTGGGTTTCCACCTGCACCGAGTCCTGGTGCCCAGACGCCTCAGCGGGTGACTGCGTGCTCTCCGCCCCGATGACCTTTGCTGTTGCTGCTGTTGTTATTGTGAGCGTTTCAGGGCGCTGCTCCGTCCCGTGTCCGCCAGGCACCGCTGCCACCACCACCTCTGCTCCATCACTTGCTCTCCTCACTATTCTCTGCTTCTTTTTCTTTCTCCGGACAGCCGCTGGTTGTTTGGGGGCTGCAGACTCCTCCACTCGCTCCTCGCGGGGCTGAGGGCTGTCCACTTCCTGAACATCTTCTTCTTTCCTTTCTTCTACAGAGCAAAAAGGGTCAATTTCAGTCCCGTGGTTTTGCGGAACTCTGAAGGCTCCCCTTAGGCGGTGGGTGGGGAAAGAGAATTACACATCGACTATAATTAGCATTTATGTAACGTCTGAGTGCTTTACAAAGGCAGGAGTTGACACTGAGGAGGAGACCATTGGCGCAGTCAAAGAAGCAGGTTTTTAAAGACCAGATTTGGATAGACAAGTCTATTGGATGGAGATGAGAGCAAGGGAGAGGTCAGAGATATAGAATGTGAAAGCTCAGCCATTGACAGTGGCATGGGAAGCTGGAGTTGTGCAGTATGCTAGAGACAGCTGCAGGGAGGGGAGGGGGAGATATAGCGAGGGGCTAGGGAGTAATAGGTGAAACAGTTGAGACTTCGCCAAAAGGGAATGAACCATCACACTCATATTTAACCTCCAGGACCCCGCCACTTCAATACGGTGTACCGTTTAAGATTTAATTCAGTAGAAAATGAAGAGGGGAGAATGCTACACAGCCTGACTGCCAATAGCTCCCTGGTTCATACAGAGAGATTGATGACCAGACCAGAGGCTGCCACCTGCACACAGAACATGGTGATTGTGGGAACAGTTTTAGTCACTCACTCCATGGCTGTTTGTGGGACATTGCTGTGCGCTAAATTTGCCTACAAATTACACAGTCACTACACTTCACAGTGAATCCTATGGAATGCTCGAGACCTCCTCCTACGTGAAAGGCATTGTGTCAAATGCAAGAATTATTTTATCATCGTAAACATTGGTTGAGTTGAAGAATTGTATAGAATGTCTTAACCAGCTGAGGTTAATCCGAGACTGGTAGCGTGGTCATACTCAATAGACCTTGTGGATAGAGTCGAGAGCGGTGTCAATGTGACAATTTACAATTGTGGTAATGATTTGCAATGCTGTCAATGGGGCAATGAGCTGCAGTGTACACACATTGCGAGCAGCACAGAGCCCGTGCAAACATTACTTTTTCGTTGCCGCTCTTCCGCTGCCGCCTTCCGCTTCTTCCTCTTCCTCCACTCAAAATCCTCCTCGTCGTCCTCATCTGTGGAGAGCTCCGCAGAGAGCGCGTCGTGTGGGAAGATTCCTGCACAAGACAGAGTTAGAAATGCATCGCCAGGCACCCTCACACTTTCCCATTCCATGGCTTCAACCATGCTTTCTCTGTACTCTACGGCTAAGTTGCTTATAGAAGCTGCCCCTTTTAGGGTGAGGTCAGCGACAGAGGTTAGAGATAGAGTAAAGCTCTACACTGTCCATCCCTCTAAACTGTCCATCCACATTCCCAGATCAGGGTTAGAGACAGAGTAAAGCTCCCTCTACACTGTCCACCCACACTGCCAAGTCAGTGACAGCACAACACAGTGAAGCTCTGTTAGTCACAAGAAGAGCAAAAAGTGAGTTTAGGAGAACTTTCTTTTTAACTCAAGAGTTGTTGGGTGTGGAACTACTAAGTTAGGTGCAGAGGCAAAATCCATGTAGGTTTCAAGAGGGAAGTGGACAGATAATATGAAGGATAGAAGCTTAAGAGTCGAGGGCATCCTGAAAGTGGATCCAGTTAAAAAAAAATGCAACTCAAAACTAGATATGTGGAACAAACCAGGACTAGAGAAAGGCCAAGGGCAGCAATGTCCACAATCTCACCTTCAGCCAAATCCTTGAATCTGAGGAGAGAGGGAGAGAGCGCGCCAGTGAGTATCAGCAAGCGAAACGAGAGACAAACACAGAAGTTGTCTCACCAACTATAGTGAGAGACTAACACAGGAGCTGTCACACCAGCCTCAAAGAAACACTTAACACAGAAGCTGCCACACCAGCTATAGTGAGAGACTTAACACAGGAGTTGTCTCACCAGCTATAGTGAGAGACTAACACAGGAGCTGTCACATCAGCCTCAATGAGAGACTAACACAGGAAGTGTGACACCAGCCACAGTGAGAGATTAACACAGGAGCTGACACACAAAGGAGCTATCACACCAGCTATAGTGACAGACTAACACAGGCGTTGTCACACCAGCCACAGTGAGACTAACACTAGCCACCGCGCTGTCAAATGCTGCACTCACTTCTTCACCAGTTTGTAGAGGCGCTTCCGGTTCGCAGCTGCTGTCTTGCTCTTGCTTGCGAGCTCAAAGAGGCGGCCAGCTATCGCTGTGTAGTCAAACTGCAGGGAAAACACAGGCAGCAGGGGGTCACTGCTAAGTTCCACAACATCCAACAAGCCCCCACACCACTTCCACCCTACACCTGGGAACATTCAACATACCACCCGCCTACGCAGGGCTAAGCCCCACCCACCCCGAAACAGGGATAACTCCCACCCACGCCGGCACAGGGCTAACCCCCACCCATCCACCCCGATACAGGGCTCACCCCGACACAGGGCTAACCCCCACCCATCCAGACAGAGGGTTAACCCCCCACCCCACCCAACCCAGCACAGGGCTAACCCCCACCCACCCCTACACAGGTCTAACCCACAACCAAAAGAATAAATGGCCCCGTGTGTGAAACGAGCAGGATTTAAAGTTAAATAACTCTTAGTCGAGAGTCACTCACTGTTCGGACTGAGATACGCTCTATACTCTTCACCTATTAAACACACAGAATGAAGTCTTCTCACCTGAAGGACAGGTCCTACATCTTCGTCTGACGGCAGATCCAAATTTTCCTCCTCGTCTTCCCCACGGTCAAGCGGGGACTTTGCTCCCATTGTCACCGAGCCTAGATGCAAATATACAGGTGAGTCCAGCCAGTCAGCACAGGAGAAGCAGCAGAATAAATCCAACACATCAAATGACTGTGTTTCCAGCTCAATCTGGGATGAGCTCTGTGCACTGACTGACTACCGGGATTGCCTACATCCCTGCCATTCACAGCATAGAGACCAGGAAAACAGGAAAGGTCTTGAACTAGACATTGAAACAGACACGAGGAGATGGGCGGGGGAGGGGTCACTAATTGCAGGTGGTGTGGCTCACACTCAGACTCCGCCAGCTCCTCTCGTGCCCCGTTGATGTGCTTCGCTGCTGATTTGCCCAGCACGGGCTCGTCTAGATCGCTGTCAGAAGCTTGGTCCTCACTGGAGTCGTCGACCCCCTCACTGCGCTCCAGCTCCTTCATTAGGTCTTCCACAGCAAATGGTGCCTGGTCCACAATCAGCTCGAAGATCCCATGTGTGATGGAGTGCAGCAGGACCCGGCTGAGTGGTGAATAAACAAGAGAGGTCAGTGTGTGTAGCAGTGTCCGCCGTCACAGCAACACCCACCCCGGAAAAACCTGTTCCCACCAAAAGCAGAGAGAAAAGACAGCGGACGCCCTACTTACTCTTTGGTTTTGGCCGCAATGCAACAAAAAGGATCAATAAACTTCAAGTTCTGTTCCGCAGACAACTGCAGGAAGAAAGGAGTCAAAGTCAGTGAAACCCCCCACACAGACACACAGGAGAAGAAGTTGACCACCCCTCCCACCCCAGGGAGAGTCAGCCTCACAGACCTCCACCCTGAGATGCATGTTAGATAGGCCACCTGGGTGTGGTGGTAGGCCGCCTGGGTGGGGGTGGGCTGGCCGGATGCCTGGTGGGGGTGGGCCGGCCGGATGCCTGGTGGGGGTGGGCCGGCTGGGTGTCTGGGGTCGGTGGGCAGGCCGGGTCCCGGGGGGGGGGGGGGGGGGCTCGGCTGGCCGGGTGCCGGTGGGGGGGGGTGGGCCAGCCAGGTGCCTGGTGGGGGTGGGCTGGCCGGTTGCCTGGGGGTGTGGGTTGGCAGGGTGTCTGGTGGGGGTGGGCTGGCCGGGTGTCTGGTGGGGATGGGCTGGCTGGGTGTCTGGGGGCGGTGGGCAGGTCGGGTGCCTGGGGGGGCTGGGCTGGCTGGGTACCTGGGGGGGGTGTGGGCTGGCCGGGTGCCTGGGGTGAGGTTGGCAGGGTGCCTGGGGTGACGTTGGCAGGGTGCCTGGGGTGAGGTTGGCAGGGTGCCTGGGGTGAGGTTGGCAGGGTGCTTGGGGTGAGGTTGGCAGGGTGCCTGGGGTGAGGTTGGCAGGGTGCTTGGGGTGAAGTTGGCAGGGTGCTTGGGGTGAAGTTGGCAGGGTGCCTGGGGTGAGGTTGACAGGGTGCCTGGGGTGAGGTTGGCAGGGTGTGTGGGAATAGTGAGGGTGTGGTACAGGGTGTGTGGGGAGGCCAGGGTTGTGCACTGTGTTACCTCCTGTGCACCCACAGTGGCCAGCTCCTCCAGGTAGATGTCAATGAAATGATAGCGGACGCCATTGGGTGCAGAGTTACCGGCTGGATTCAGCACCTCCGCTGTCAGACAGTCCAGAAAGCGGCTGACGAGACTGGAACCAAAGAAAGAGAGATTAATCTGGAGCCTGGCACCATCAGCACTGTGTCTCGATCTCTTCCCCCAGCACTGCACTGTGACCTTAAAAGTCCAGAAACGGGAACTGAATCCACACCTTTCTGACTCGGAAGGTGAGGCAGCCACCAAATGAACCAGTCTGACATCACTATTGATGCCCCCCATCCACCCCTCTACCTCCTTGACCTCCTGAACCTCTCCGCCGCGTTCGACGCAGTCGATCACACCATCCATCTCCACCGCCTTTCCTCCGTCATCCACCTCAGTGGGACCGCACTCGCCTGGTTCGAGTTCTACATCACAAACCGCCAGCAGTACGTCTGCACAAATGGCTTCTCCTCCCGCTCTCACCCGCTGAAACCCTGGTCCATGCCTTTGTCACCTCTCGGCTGGACTACTCCAACGCCCTCTTCGCCGGTCTCCCATCCACTACCATCCAAAAAATCCAAATCATTCAAAACTTTGCCGCCTACCTTCTCACCTGCATGAAACTCCGCTCCCCGATCACCCCAGTCCTTGCCATACTGCACTGGCTGCTTATCCCAGAGAGGATCGATTTTAAGATCCTCACTCTCGTATTCAAGTCCCTGCACTCCTCTGCACCCCCCTACCTCTCTGACCTCCTCTCTCCTCAAAACAGTACCCATTGCCCTCATTGCTCCGGGTCTGGCCTCCTCCTCGTCCCCCCGCTCCACCCTCGGCGGCCGTGCCTTCAGCCACTATGTCCCGAGGCTCTGGAACTGCCTTCCTCACTCCCTTCGTCTCGCTCCCTCCCTTCCCATTTTCAGGTCTTTGCTGAAGACCTTTCTTTTCGACCGCGCCTTTGGTCACCTTCCCCCCCTCCCCCCTGGCTCGGTCCCGGGATCCGTTACTGTAAAGCGCTCTGAGACGCCGTCCGGCGTGGCGGGCGCTATATATAAATCCAAGTTGTTGTTGTTGTTGCTGTTGACATTCACTGTCTATTGCACAAAAAATATTTAGCACTAAAATTCCTACCGTGCGGGTGAATTTTTCAGGCTACGTGTTAAAACCCAGGCAACCTGCAAGAGGGCAGCGTGCAGATGGGTTAGCCCAGCCTCGGGCAGAATAAATGATGCACGGATCACTCACCTGTCCTCCCAGCCGCTGCTCCGGACCTCCTGGAGAAACTGCCGCAGGACCTGGCGGATGAGCTAAACAGCAAAGCCACAGTTAGTGGGAGGGAAGAGCGCCACCTTGTGGACTTCCTCGTGCCAAGCAATTTGCTGTAACTTTCCGTGCGAGCTACGAGAAACACTTTGGGGAAAGCTGCATAGACAATCTTCAGTGTGTTCTGGTGCTGTTTCGCTGGAAGGCGTATGGCCGAGCTTGTGTCAGTTATTAGTAGGAGTCCTGCAACTCAGAGGTTAGAGCGCTCGCCTCGCAAGCGAGAGACCTGTGTTTCATTTCCGGCCAGGGCGAAACCTTGGGCAAGTTTCCTTACTCTATACGCCTGATAATAATCCCTCAAGAAAAAAACAAGAATAACATTGGTCATTTCAATCCATGACTGTTTGTGGGACACTGCTGTGCGCAAGTAGCTACTGCGTTTTGCCCACAAGTATACAGTCAATTCACTTTACAGTATATTCCACTTTACAGTGGAGTCCTGTAGCTCAGTAGTTAGAGCAGTTGCCTTGCAAGTGAGAGACCTGAGTTCAATTCCAGGCAGAGGGCGAAACCTCGGGCAAGTTTCCTTACTCCACACAGAGCCTAATAATAATCCCTCCAGAACCAAAAACAATAATAAATTGGTCATTTTCAATCTACGACTGTTTGTGGGACATTGCGGTGCGCAATTGGCTGCCGCGTTCGCCCACAAATATACAGTCAATTCACTTTACACTGTGTTCTGTGAAGCGCTTTGGGACGTCCTCCCGACGTGAAAAGCGCTATATCAAATGCAAGGATTATTATTATTATTATTATATCCCGTGAAGCGCTTTGAGACAGATACCTGGTTAACCAAAATAAATGTGGAACTCACTCTTGGAAGTTGTGTTTAAAGCAAAAAGTATCAAGCACTTAAAAAGAAACTTGATGCATACATGAGGGAGAAAGGGATAGAGGAGTGTAGGAGAGGGGAATAGAGGGGTGTAGGAGTGGGGAATAGAAGGATGTAGCGGTCAAACACCGGCACAGAATGATTTGGCTGAATGACCTGTTCCCATGCTGTAACAGTCGGTGTATATTTCTAGCAGGAAAGGGGGGTAAGGGCTACAGGTGTGAGGTACTCAAGGCTCCTGTTAATCCTGCAGATCAATGCCCTAACGGGTAGAATGGTTCTAGCTGGACAAGCAGCGAGAAGCTTGCCAAGCAGCACTATCAATGGCAAGCTATGAGGTTTTAGCTGAGTAGACTGCAGCAGTGTGAGATCCACAACAAACAAATGTGTTACTAGGACGAGGGTTGGGGCTCAGGGTGAATCCTCACCGTGTAAAACTTATCCAGCCGAAGGCGGTCGATTCCATTCCACTCTCGGTTCATGGTCTGACAGAAGGTCTCCATGAACAGGAACTCTGAAGCAGAGACAGGCAAGATTAAAGGCTTGTGCACTCGGTGGTGCAGATCATGTCAGCTGTGAACAAGCGTTGCGCTTATATCAATAATCATTACCCGACAACACACACATCATCAGTAAGTTAGAGAAAATAAACACTGAGGGTCTTGATCCCAGAATTCACATTTGGCGGATCGCGGGCAGGTGAAATACCGCTTGCACTCTCTGAGTCCATGTTTGAGTTGAAGCGTGTCAGCACCCACACTCCTGGGTTACTGATGCCTAATGGTTCCATTACAAATACTGCAAATTAGACTCAATCACCACTAGTTATCGGTAGCTAGACATGATCATTAGTTACACTCACAGATCACAGGCTCACTGCTCCTTACAGTAACGGACCGTAACACAGGATAGCAGAGGCAGGCTTCTCAAGTCCCACCCCACCCACCCACACACACATACACCTGGCAAGTGGAAGCTCTCCCCACACCACCCCTCTCACACACACACACACACACACACATAGCAGCTCAATAACACTCCAAAGCCATCAGGAGCTGCGCACAGCGAACTTACTGGCATCCAGGTTCTGGAATGCATGCACAAGCTGTGCAATGTTTTTTGCCAATTGTTCCTGGAACACAAGAGCAGAAGAGGTTTGGTGAGCTTCACAAATAGTCATTTCAAACCTAACCCCATGCTCCTGATAGGATTAAACTACCAGAGCGGAGCCAGAACATGAGGCCCCAACTCACGCAGCACCAAGACACACACTTACACACAGCACTTGATACAATACAATACAAAATTACATTTCACTTTCTGGAATTACATAAGCAGGATGCGTCCCTCCAAGTGAAAGAGTGCGCATTCTGCTCCAACAATCTATCTCGGGAATTTCCATGTACAGGTGGGATGCATGGAATTTTCAGCTTGGTTTGGATACTCTTAAGCACGGTGATTGGGTTGGATTCTGATCTCCGGTTTACCAAAAAAAACACTTAGCCTCTCGACTGTTCTCTCTGTTAAACATCCAGAACTAGACATACACACCGTGAATGACAACCCCCACTTACACACCCAACACACACCAACAACAAATTGCAATTTATGCAGCGGCTTTCACATCGGGAGGATATTTTAGGGCTCTAGGAAGGGAAGGGGTTGCACTTAAGCCAGGGTTGGAATCAAGAAGGGTGTAGGTAGGAAGACCGAAGGCAGGATGGAAAAGGTCTTGAAAGAGGAAAAGGAGCGGTCGAGGCGGCATGGCCAGTGCCCGCCAAGTGGAGGAGGCACATAAGTTGGAAAAGGTTTAGTAGGTCGCAGAGATAGGGAGGAACAAGACCATGAAGGACTTAAGTGAGGATTAGGACCTTCAACTTTACTCTCTGGGGACGGGGAGCGAAGGATGAGGGCGATCAGCTCACGGAGCTTACTGCGGGATAGGCCACAAGCTGCAGAGTTCTGAATAATCTGCAGCCTTGGGAAGGAAGAGCTTGGAAGTCCAGTGAGCAGGGAGTTGGTGCAGTCAAACCTGGATGTACTATGTAAGTCATACACACCTAGCACACGCAGGCCTGAAACGCATATATATCCAGGACCAGACTCTCACATCCCCAACTCACGCTACCAGAGAGAGCCTTGCACAAGATTACACGTGGAGCAGATGTTGGCTGAATGGCATTGCAAGGATCCCACACAAAGGCTTAAACTAAATGACAGGATTTCAGGCTGACCTGTAGGAGGGGCTTGTCCTGCATCCACATGCAGTAGAAGATTCCCTTCCATATCTTCAGTAGCTCCTCTCGAGTGAAGCCAACTGTAAAATAATGCCTTTTAGTATTCAGGGTATGATTCTGACATCTGTCATTCCTCCCACTGGTGTTGCTTTGACTCAGGATAACCTGGGTGGGGGGGTTACCAGGGTGGGGGGGGGTCACCGGGGGTGGAGGGGGGAGTCAGGGGTTACCGGGGTGGGGGGGGGGCCGGGGTTACCGGGGTGGGTTGGGGCGTCGGTGGTTACCAATGTGTGGAGGGGTTAGGGTTCCCAGGGTGGGGAGGGGTCAGGGGTTACCAGTGTGGGGGAGTCAGGGGTTACCGGTGGGGGGTTACCGGGGTGGGGATCAGGGGTTACCGGGGTGGGGATCAGGGATTACCGGGGTGGGGATCAGGGATTACCGGGGTGGGGGGGGTGGGGATCAAGGGTTACCGGGGTGGGGGGGGGATCAAGGGTTACCGGGGTGGGGGGGGGGGGATCAAGGGTTACCGGGGTGGGGGGGGGATCAAGGGTTACCGGGGTGGGGGGGGGGGGGATCAAGGGTTACCGGGGTGGGGTATCAGGGATTACCGGGGTGGGGGGGTGGTGGGGATCAGGGGTTACCGGGGTGGGAGGGGGTGTGGGGGGGGGGATCAGGGGTTACCGGGGTGGGGGGGATCAGGGGTTACCGGGGTGGGGGGGGTGGTGGGGATCAGGGGTTACCGGGGTGGGGGGTGGGGATCAGGGGTTACCGGGGTGGGGTGGGGGATCAGGGGTTACCGGGGTGGGGGATCAGGGGTTACCGGGGTGGGGGGGGGGGTGGGGATCAGGGGTTACCGGGGTGGGTGGGGGGGTTGGGGATCAGGGGTTACCGGGGTGGGGGGCGGGATCAGGGATTACCGGGGTGTGGGGCGGGGGGGGGTGGGGATCAAGGGTTACCGGGGTCGGGGTGGGGGACCAGGGATTACCGGGATGGGGGGGGGGGGGGATCAGGGGTTACCGGGGTGGGGGGGGTGGTGGGGATCAGGGGTTACCGGGGTGGGGGGGGGGTGGGGATCAGGGATTACCGGGATGGGGGGGGGGGGATCAGGGGTTACCGGGGTGGGGGGGGGTGGGGATCAAGGGTTACCGGGGTGGGGGTGGGGGACCAGGGATTACCGGGATGGGGGGGGGGGATCAGGGGTTACCGGGGTGGGGGGGGGGTGTGGGGGGGGATCAGGGGTTACCGGGGTGGGGGGGAATCAGGGCCAATCTTAGTCCCATTCTGAATACCACTAAACCCCGAGACCCTCAAAACACTCATCTCTGAGATCTGCTCCTCCCCCCACACAAAGATTCCCCCTTCCTCCTCCTCCTCCTCCTCCCACCACCACCACTCCTCCTCCTCCTCCCCGCCCAGGGCTGCCCCCGCTCCACGGGCCGGCGCTGCCGTACAAAACCCACGTGTGCGTGGGAGCCGAGGCCCTGTGCGCCAGGTCCCCGTGGAGGGGGGTGGGGGAGGGGGTGGGGCGGGGCGGAGGCAGACAGACAGACCGACAGCCACGCAGACAGGCGGGGCCGAGGTTACCTGAGGACGGCTGCGAGCGGGCGCTGAGGTAGCGGCGGAGTTTGCTGAGCGCCCGGTCCCGGCAGCGCTTCTCGTTGGACGCGAGTCTCTGCGCGAACTGCAGCTCCGCGGCCGCGGCCGCCGCCATCTTCTTCTCGCCGGGAACTCTGGGAAGGAGGGCGGGCAGGCAGGAAGGGGGCGGGGCGGCCGCCCCGCGCCTGCGCACGTCGACCGAAGCGTGGAGTAGGCGGGGCGGGCGGGGGGATGGGTGGGGGTGTACTGGTTCCCATGGCAACCGGTGATCACCGGCCCCGCCCCCTCCACCATCACCACCACCGCCATCATCACCCAAACCCATCCGAAGCCGCCACAGGTAATAATAATAATAATAATAATAATCCTTGCATTTGATATAGCGCTTTTCACGTCGGGAGGACGTCCCAAAGCGCTTCACAGAACACACTGTAAAGTGAATTGACTGTATATTTGTGGGCGAATGCGGCAGCCAATTGCGCACAGCAATGTCCCACAAACAGTCATATGGATTGAAAATGACCAATTTATTATTGTTTTTTTTTTTGGAGGGATTATTATTAGGCTCTGTGTGGAGTAAGGAAACTTGCCCAAGGTTTCGCCCTCTGCCTGGAATTGAACTCAGGTCTCTCACTTGCAAAGTGAGTGCTCTAACCACTGAGCCACAGGACTCCACTACCACAGGTGGTATCGAACGCCACGTTACCAAAATACTGTTCGATTTCTCAACGGTTATATATATTGGCTTGACCGCAGCTGAGGTCAGATTCTGATAACTTTCCCTTGTTCGGTGCCTGGGTACCATGTCATATTCCCACCCAAGACTTGAGTAATCTTGTCCTTGAGCACAGACGTGAAAACAAGAGGGCTCAGAAGGAGAAGTGCACTCATGGACATCTGCTTTATTTCAAGACTAAGAAACAGGGAGATGGCAGAATCCTCCCAAAAAGCTGTCCATTTCTTTCTCCTTATCAGTTATTTTCCCACGCGAAAAGAAGCTGCTCAAGATTGCTATCAGCCTGCGAACTGTGGGGACTATCTCTCTGACAAGGGGAGATGGAGTTAGAAACACATAAAAGAAAGATGTAACTTTGGAGTTATCGGAGAGGGGTCAACACGCTTCCCAGTGGAATCAATATCAATTTTACTGGATCGATGGTCTCAGTTTTAAGAATAAGTTAGGCTATTTGTATTACTTAATAAATTTTGGATTATTACTCCAACATATTGATTGTCTCCATCCGATCTCTTATATTCCGGAGCACTTGGCAGTGGCGCAGTTCGACACCGAGCCAGGGGGAGGTAACTGTAGGCACAGAAGAGGAAGGTCTTCAGGTGCGACCTGAAGATGGAGAAGGAAGGGGCAAGTCAGATGGATAGAGGAAGTTTTCCAGATTTTCGGGGCACAGTGGCAGAAAGCGCAACTGCCAATAGTGGAACGGAGGACACAAGGGACATGCAGGAAGCTGGAGCCAGTTGAGAGGAGGCAGCCAGTTGTGGGGTAAGCAGGTAGGAGAGGTAGGGAGGTGATAGGGCATGAAAGGATTTGAAAGCAAGTTTGAGAATCTTGAAATCGATCCGATCAGAGATAGGGAGCGAGTGGAGCCCAGCTAGGACTGGTGTGATGGGGCTATGGAGTTTAGAACTGGTGAGAATGCGGGTGGGGGAGTTTTGGATCAGCTTGATCCTGTGCCTGGTGGAGCTGGAGCGACCGGCGAAGAGGGCATTTGAAAAGTCGAGTTGGGAGGTGATGAACCCATGGACGGGTGTTTTAACTGCATCTGGGGTAAAGTACGGAGGGATGAGAAATGAAATGTGTGGTTTGGACCCAGTAAGAGCTGCTCCTGAGTGAAATGGACACACATAGGCCTTACATTCCCACCTACTGTGGTCCCTAGTCTGTGGAGGAAGGTATCGGGGGCACTGACAATAAGAGTGATATAACAGTGTTCCAAACAATGCATGTATATATGTATAAGTGGCGCTCACCCGGTAATCAAAGAGCATAATGTATTTGACATTGTCTGTCAGGGTCTCCCAGTAAAGAGGGAACAGCGGAAAATAGAACAGTGGTTCATCATCCTATAGAAAAGGAATAGCATAGAGGAGACTGGCCTCTCCATGTAACTGCTCCAGGTAGTTGGAGGAGGCAGGAAGGGACGCCTTGATACCTCCACGAGGGGGTGGGCTATCTGTCTATTGTATTAGGTATTTGGGTGAGTGGTGTTCTTTTCTTGCAAAGAGTATTGAGCAGAGGCCTTCCTCTGTGTTGTAAGTTTGTATAGTTTTAAGCCAACCACTCATGGTAATTCCGTTTCTAGAATGGAATGTGCACTCTCTCTCGCTCTCTCTCGGGATTCACCCTGCTTACCTAATTCTGGAGATTATTCAGTGCAAATTAATGAAAGCCAAGGCTTGCTGCCCCCCACATTGTGTGTTGGTATACTGCTGGAGTTTAACCTGCTAACAACACATATTGAGAATACGGTTCTGGATACTCTTGGAGCAAAGGGGTGGGTTTCCGCATGCGACTGACCAAAAAAAGCATTTGCAAAAGGACAGTGACTCACTTGCAGCAGTGGTTAGCAAATGTTTATTTTTGAGAAAATGAATTTAGCTGAACTTATACATTACACACACACCATCTTACACACTACAGCTATGAAACTATTAAAACAGCAAACAACAAATGCTAAGAGCAGCAAACATCAAATGCAAACATCAATTCAGCTGCTTGCTTAGCTTCTTTTTTTTGCTGCTCTTTCATGTATTTTTGCCACAGTAAATCTGTGACAACCCTCATATTTCAATCCTGCAGTCTGCTACTGCTGTTTGGTAAAGCGGTCAGATTTCAGTCATTGGTCAATTTGGTTTCATCTTCTACACGGGGTGTAACGCTACCTGGCCCAGTGCCACCTGGGGTTGTGCTGCCTCCACGAGTGCCACCTGGGGTAGCGCTGCCTCCACGTGGGCTAATGTTGCCTCCACCAGTGCCACCTGGGCTAATGTTGCCTCCACGTGGGCTAATGTTGCCTCCAACAGTGCCACCTGGGCTAATAAAACCTTGTGCTTCTTTTGTGAGGCTGACAGACGGCCTAACTTCATCCGTTGAAGTCTTAGGTTCTAAATCAACCAAACTGATTTCCACCTTCGTATCAGCATTCAATGCTGTTAGAATAAAAGAGGATGGTTATACAATACAAATTGATATTTATACAGATACCACACCATAGTGGTGCTGAACAATAGAGATCAGGATTCGCTGGTTCAATTACAGGTCTTTGTTGAGTTACATATCTCTGCTACGTTGCAGATAGTCATAACTGACCTCAGAATCCCTAGGCTAGAGACAAGTCAGACTCCTGATCACTGTTCAGTGACCTTCTTGCTGGGAAATTCATGTGTATGGACATTGATTGAGAACAGATTGTGCTAACTTTGATACATGGCTGCTGATGTTGTCTTAGCGCTCACATGAAGTCACCTGCATAGGCTCTTCAGCCCATCCAGCCTGATCCATGTTAATTAAATCATCACTATTTATATTATTAGTCCCATTTCAATTTTTATACATCATTCAATACCCTACTTCCCAAGTATTTATCCATTATTTCCTTTGTACTATTCTGCGTGTTGGTCTTGTAAAGAATTGTGTTCCATGTTTTCACAGCATTTTGTATCCCACTTATATATGGAAATTCTCATGGTTTGGAATGAATGCACACTCTCTCTGGATAGGCACATCCTGCTTCAAGAGAGCATTAAGTGCAGGTTGGCAAGAGCAAGCCTCAAGGACCCCAGAGTGTTGCTTGTGAAGATAGATGCCCATTAGGGCTTTGGTTTACCGGGTTAGCAGGAACTGAGCGGGAAGAATCCCTTCCCCAGTGACTTATCTTGCCAATGAGCCATTGAGCCTATGCTGTCATCAGCAGTGCCCTGGAATACTGCAGAATCCACCTGACTCTAGAACTGGACTACTGAAACCACAACAGAGAGTAGTCTCAATTCCAACATTATGTTGCCAAGCATGTCATCTTGGAGTCAGTTCACCTCCAAGGAGACACTGCTTACCTTCCTCCCCACACCACCCACAAAAGGATAGTCACAAGTTTATCATTTGACATTCAACAAGTGCAGGTTTGAGCCCTCACTTGGTAGTGGGACAGCACGGCTCAGCATGAAATGCGTGAGAGCTTTGCCACCATCTTCCGGCTCACATCTCAGACACACATTCCTACCCACTGAGCGATGGTTCCACCAATTGGAAGTGTGGAGCTTGAGCAGCAGCTTACCTCTGTCCAGACCAATCAAGGTGGATTACGCAACATGCACTTGTAGAGCATCTTTCTCATAAGCATCATATAACAAATACATTACAAATTTACATTAATACGATGCCTTTCATGTCGGGAGAATGCCTAACAGCACTTGAGAGTGCTTACTTGTCACCTAAGCTGGAGGTGGGAGCTGAGGGGCTTGGTTCTAAGGGGATTGAGGAGGGAAAAGATGATTGATCAAGTGGGAAGGAAGAGAAGTTTACTAAGATGTGATGGTATTTACTGAGATCATGCTGAGATGTGTTGCCCACCAGGAAGCTTGCAGGGCATTTCTGGTACCTACCATCCACCTAGTGAAGGCTCAAACCTGCGCTTGTCGAATGTTGAATGACCAACTAATGACTATCCTGCTTGGGGGGACCGGGGGGAAATAAGCGGGCTCTCAAGCAAGGTAACATGCTTGGCAATGGAATGTCGGAATCCTCTGGAGGATGGGGAGCCAGTGGAGTCGGGCGAGGGTGGGAGTGATGGGGTCACGGAGTCTGGTGCACGAGAGTACACGAGCTACAGGGTTTTGGATGATCTGCAGCTTGTGAAGGGAAGAGTTGGAAAGGCCGATGAGGAGGGAGTTCCCTTAATCAAGCCTCGAGGTGACGAATGCATGGGTGAGGGTTTCGGCAGCCTGAGGGGTGAGGCAGTGGCGAAGAATGGCAATATTGCGGAGGTGGTGGTAGGCAGTGTCGGTCATGGCACGGATGTGGGGCAGAAAGGACAATTCAGGGTCAAACAAGACACCCAGGTTCCTGACTGGCTTAGTGAGGTTGAGTGTGCAGCCATGGAGGCTGATGCTGCCAGCGCCTGAGGTGCGGAGGCTCTGGCACGAGCCAATCAAGAGGGCCTCGGTGTTGCTGACGTTGAGTTGGAGAAAGTTGGCCCTCGTCCAGGACTTGATGTCGGACAGGCAATTGATCAGGACCTCAGTAGTCCTGGAGTTCAGGGTGGAGGCAGAGAGGTAGAGTTGGGTGTCATCCGCATACATGTGGAAATTTACCCCATGTCTGCAGATGACGTCATCAAGGGGGAGCATGTAGAGGGTGAAGAGGAGGGGACCAAGGATAGAGCCCTGAGGAACACCACACGAGACAGTGCGGGGGCTGGAGGAGAAACCGTTTGCCGCGACAAAGTGGAGGCGGTGTGAAAGGTAGGGCCTGAACCAGTCAAGGACAGAACCTTGCTGTGGGCAGCGCGGATACCCGATTGTAGGGATTCATGGAGGGAGTGAGAGGAAAGAGCAAATGCATTATTACCATGCATTTAACTTTTTCAACAGCCTCCTCTTAAAATCTTATCAACCACTTTTTGAAAGTCCATACACAACATCCTCTGCATTCCCTTTATCAATATTATGTTATTTTATCAAAAACACCATTAATCGTATCAAGCAAAGCATTCTTTTGATAAATCCATGTCTTTAAGTGATTATTCATGTCATCCCATATTCTGGGGAGGTGAAGTGAGGGGAGTTGCAGGAGAGTAGTTACTGCAGGGGGGGAAGTAGCAACTGTGGGGCAAGTGTAACTGCTTACTGCAGGGTGGGGTCAGCGGTTATTGGGTAGGATCACTTACCATGAGGTTTGTTTCTGTGGTCATAATGCTACTTCAGGCAGTTTTCTGTACTGCTATTAAATGCATGTCCACCCAATAAAGGCTTCTTTATTTCCTGCCCAACTATACCACTGTTATAATAATAATCCTTGCATTTGATACAGCACATCACGTCTTCTTGATGTCTCAAAGTGCTTCACAGAATTTACTGTAAAGTGAATTGACTTTATGTTTTGTGGACAAAACTATAATCATCATTAATAATCACTTAAATTATAAAATGGGTCAGTGGTTGAGGAGGTGGGTCAGTAAATCTAGGCAATTTGATTCTTTTAGTTAGCTGTCAATGGAAGAGAAAATACAATTATTCTTAATGTTGGTTAGGTAATAAAGTGGGCATTAATGTTACTGATGGCAGGAAATGTAGCCCAAGATTTCAGAATAACAAAGACCCTGATTTAGGAAAAGAGCAAGACACCTCACAGCTGGACTAAGCTGATAAACAAGCAATCAGGTGACAAGTGAGTGTGAGTGCCTATCGCATTTATTGTTCTTGGGAGGGTGAGTGTTTTTCACTCAGCAAAAAGTACAGCTGGTGCTCACCCAATTAATGACTTAGAACTCATCTATAAGATCCATTGGGATTCAGTGATCTTTACACACCTTATGTCAGGTTCAATCAGACCAGTTTGACAGATGTTGATTTGGAGCTATGAAGGCTGAAAACATGGAAGGGCAGACTCACCTGGCGAGTACGTTGTTAATCCTGTAAGCGTCTCAGCCTTCCACTTCAGAACAGTAACATTTACCGAATCTTCATCATCTTCCATCTCTTCATCTATCTTTTCCTATCACAGATAGACAAGTAACAACTGTAATAACATGGAGCACTCTGCCCCCCCCCCCCACCCCTCTCCACTCATTGCAGAACATCACAGTACACAACATGTACTATTAGTGAAAAGAAACCAAAGGACTTCTGCATATGGCATGGTTCCCAGTCCCAGTGACAGTCACCAGTGCACTAACGAGGATATGGGACAGAAAACACACCAAAGCCTTCTCCCAGGTCAGTTTTGAGCAATTATAGTTTAAAACTCTTAAACATCAGCAGCCTCCCAATCTCCCAGGTCCAGAGTGATAGTGAAATTATAGCCAGTAGGCTGCATTTTGATTCCTGTTTTTTGCTGAGTTAGCAGATCTTAGCTGGTGCAATTGGATGTTGGATTATGGAGGAGTTAAAAACAACCATGGACTATCTTGCTTCTGACCACTATATATTGTGAAGTGCCCGCGTGCGAGTGTTGAATAAAGATATGACTGAATTCAGCTTGGTTCAGTACACTACTGATGCTAAGTTGTTTAGCTCACAAATTAAGAACATTAAATTTATATAATAATAAAGATTGTTGCATTTGATAAAGTGTCTTATCAATCATTGTGAATTCTCAAAGTACCTCACAGAAGTTACTGTGAAGTGTAGGGACTGTGTATTTGTAGCAAAGCACGGCAGCTATTGCGGTCAGCGGTGTCCCACAAACAGTTGTGAATTGAGTGACCAAATTCTTATTATTATTTTGGAATGTATTATAACCCCTGTAAAATTATCTTTTTTTGGAGGGGTAATTCTTGGCAAGGACACCAGGAAAAACTTTTTTTTAAATAATGCCATTGGTTCGTTAACCTCCACCCGAACAAACAGACACGAGGTAGATTTAATGTCTCATTCAAAAAATAGCAACTCTGACAATGTAGTGCACCCCCGGCACTGTATTGGAGTCTCAGCCTAGCCTGAGTTCAAAATCTCAAAGTGGGTCTCAACCACACCTTTCTAACAGAGAGGCTGGAGCACTACCAAATGAGCCAGGCTGACATCAAGTCCTGTAGCTCAGTGGTTAGAGCACTCGCTTTGCAAGCGAGAGACCTGAGTTCAATTCCAGGCAGGGCGAAACCTTGGGCAAGTTTCCTTACTCCACACGCCTAATAATAATCCCTCCAAAAAACCAAAAACAATAATTAAATTGGTCATTTTCAATCTACGACTGTTTGTGGGACATTGTGTGCGCAATTGGCTGCCGCGTTCGCCCACAAATATACAGTCAATTCACTTTACAGTGTGTTCTGTGAAGCGCTTTGGGACGTCCTCCCGACGTGAAAAGCGCTATATCAAATGCAAGGATTATTATTATTATTATTATTATCAAGATCGGATACTGAGGGGAAACCATTATGAGGAGGAAGGTGGTTTTAAAAAAAGTAACTTAAGTAAAGTGATATTACTCTGCAGTCTGCAATTTCTTTAGTGTGAAGAGAAATTATATTTGTTAATAGTGTTTATGATATCTAACAGCAGACATCAACAGCTACATCTATGAGTTTACTCCACTGAGAACCGTAGATTTCACCATGTTTTATCATTTCAATTATGTCCAGTTGAAATAGTAACATAGCAACTAATATCAAACAGAGGCCACAGATGGTTTAACAAATAAATAGGGGGTCAAAGGATTAGGAGTGGAGGAAGAAATTGACCTGATGTGCATGTTGCATTAGATGATCGCTACATCCCATGCTTCAGAGAGCCATGCAACATGCAATCAGTACACAGAGTAACAGTTCAGGCAATCCCATGCAACACTAGCCTCCAGCGACATCAATCCACCTCAATCGGGGATGGTCGGAAGCTCGGGCTGGGGGCTGACTTTGAGGGCTGTTTCTCTTTGCTCTTCTTTGAAACCTGCTGCATAAATAGGTTGCAATGAATGGAAGAAAATAAATCCTAGATACTCTGCCACAAGCTTGTCTTTGCTTTTTTAACTGCTTCATCACATTTTGGTAACATCGAAAGTTATGCATCTACCTCCACTCCCTGTGTCAAGACTCAGCCTAAGAACCATCAAAGCACAGAAGAAGGCCTTTGGCTGGCTCTTTGAAAGAACAATTTACCCACCTTTTCCCCATACACCTCACAGCTGCCCAGGATCTGCAGTGCAGAAGTACCTTCACTCCTGTCCTTGCCAATTTACAGAGGCTCCTTCTCCAATACTGCAACAATTTCAAGAAACTCATCCTAATTTTCAAATCCATTCATAGCCATGATCCACCCTGACTGTAAAAATGGTTCCAGCCTCGTACCGCAGAGGCTGAGCATTCAAGCACCACCCTGTGGAACTCGATTGTAAAATTATTCTGCCTTCCTCTACCTGCTTTCCAAAATCTCCTAGACCCAGTTCTATGACTATGTTCTTGTGTTTTACCTTAAGTTAATTCAGTTCTCTTTAGTCTCTCCTGTGCCTAGGACTCACCTCTTCTGTCTGTATATATTGACCATGTTGCTCGCAGCCAATGTCAAAAATGTACTTTCCTGGTCCTATAGGCTACAAGAAAAAAAATCAATCAGAAACGCTTTATTAGAGCTGTCCTTGCATTCCATGCTCTCATTGGCCCTCCGGCAAGAAACATGACAATTTTGGAAATGATTAAATGAACCAATTATTCGTTCCAGGTTTTCAGCAATCACTTCTTATCCTTATTAGGCGGGCAATCTGCTCATGAACATAACAATTTAGCAGGCAAAAGAAGACCAGGGTTTGCCAGTTCACCTTATACTTTCCTGGCAGTCGCATGGACATGTCACGTCCCAAACTATATAGCATATCCTGAGATATTATTTCCTAACAGAAATCTATGTAATTTGTTCCTGAATCAACTGCGTGTGTGCGTGCGTGGGTCCAGTGATATGGTCCGTCCGTCCAGTGATATGGGCATATTTGCTTTCGGTTATCTACTATCGTTCATGATTATTTAAAATATTGCGTTTCTGCTGCAGTTACACCTGGTGGCCGCCGAGTCAAAGTGGCGCTGTGGCATCGTGCGTCACAGAGCACCTACGTCCCAGAGCATACACATATAGCCAAGAACAAAATAAAGAACGCAGACGAAGCTAAGCCGCGGCAACAACAACAAAATTAGATTTTTAAAGTGCCGAGTCCTCCCAAAAGGAGTCTTCCCACAGGAGTCTAGATAAAGATGAAATGTGTGTCTGTCTGTGCATTAATCTATATTCCATATTGGATCCTTTGGTTGCAAGCATAGTTGCAACGGGTACAGCTAGTGTACAATATTGTACTTACATTGTTGTTCTGGAAGGTGCCCTGGTATCTGTGGTTAATATGGATCAGCTCTCCAGCCTCTGCTTGTTTTCCACCAACCCAACTTCCTTTATATGTGGAGCCACACTGCTTGTAGGTGTAGACTCCCTGTCCATGCCTTGCAGAAAACTTTCAATTAAGTAAAATAGTAATAATAATCCTTGCATTTGATATAGCGCTTTTCACGTCTTCTAGTGTATATATATATATACACACACACAGAATATACACAGAGAAAAGTAGTCAAAAATCCTCAAATAACTTTTGCATGTGTTTTTAAAGTCAGGTCTTGCTTAGCCACGAGCTGCTATTATAAAAGATGGAATGAAATATCTAATTGGACAATTGACTGGATAGATAAGGAATTCAATAAAAGGGAAAATAGGATTTTACGATTGCTGGCTTCACAAAAGTGGTTTGGCTATACCTTTGGTGACTGACCCAATCTCCATTGTAAACATCACCATTAGGATAGAAATAAGATCCTTCTCCATTCCGCTGATCATCCACCCAGTTTCCTGAATATCAGAGATACGAGAAGGATGTGTGAGAGGAATAGGAACAGAGAAGCTATTCAGCCTGCCATTTTATTAGATTTTTGCAGCTGTTCACAATTTTAATCCCATTACAATCCATCAGCACTGATTGGTTTGAGCAGCAGGCCCGTATGGAGTATGTCGCAATGTCACATACCTACCCTAACCATCTAAAATCACTCAACTCCGCTCACTTTCCCTCCACTCCCTGATGGAGCCCTTGCAGTCTAGCTTCTGTCCTGTCCGCAGTACTGAAAGCCCTCACCAAAGTCATCAACAACGTACTCTCGCTTTGTGACTAAGGCTTCCTCTGTCTACTTGTGCTCCTGACCACTCTGCTGCTTTTGTTACTCCATCCTCCTTGCCTGTCCTCCCTTATCCATCTCCATTGGAACTACCATTATCCAGAAGTGTGTATGTGTATGTGGGTGGGGTAAGAGGAAGTTTAAAAGCTTTCATCTCCCAATAAGATAATAATGAAAAGACTACATTACCTTCATACTTAGAGCCATCCGGGTAATAGAATATCCCCTGACCATGCTTCTTGTTATTAGAATACAAGCCAACATAGCGAGCTCCGGACTTGAATCTGTATGTTCCCTGCAAAGAAGGTTAAGGATTTAACAAATGTAATTAGACACAAGGTTTCCACCAGAGGATAGGTGTCAAGTTCCACAAGATTCGACTTTCGTCCAATGTGTGGCCTGAGTTCAAAATTCAAAAGCACAAACACAGGATAATGGGTGACAGATATATTGAGTGGAAGGTGTAATGCGGGATTTCAGGAATGTTCTAAGGGGTGGAACAAATTATCTGAAGTCTAATTTATGATGGTGGGACAGAGCAGGGGCAAAAAGCAGACAAGAGTTGGTGGTAAGGTTGCAGCAGATCAGAGAGATAGGGTAGTGCAAGGCTGTGGAGCCATTTGAAGCTTAAGACAAGAGTCTTTAATTGATCTGATGGTATAATATGGACCCAGCGGAGCTGAGGTTGGGGTGATTGGCTCAGGAAGAACCGTTGTGAGAGAGAACATGGAATGTAGAGTTCTGGGTGACTGGAGTTTGTGGAGGATGGAACTTGGAGGCTGACCAGCAGATTGGAAAAATCGTGTCAGGAGGTGACAAAGGTATGTTTGAGGGTTTGAACTATGAGGTATTCGCAGTGTTAAATTCAGTAATTAAACATCAGAAAGATCCTAGCTGATATAGTGCTACAATTGGCCTCACCACTCAGTAATACTAAACAGACAAATGAGGAAGCAATCTCTGTACAATAATGGTAGTTCTAACACTCAGCTAAGCTGCAGCAAGTTACCATTCCATTTCGCTTGCCATTTTCGTACTCTCCTTCATACGTGTCACCATTAGGCAGCGTTGCCTTCCCATGCCCATGTCTCTCACCAGCTTCATTCCGATCCCCTTCATATTCCTTTTGAAAGAGGCAATTGGAAAATTCAGATTAGAAACGATGCAGTTCCAATATGTGCTTACTGCTGCTCAGTTTATGTATGAAGCAACTGCACTTGTGGAGAGGCCAAGAACAATGCATTCAACGCAAACAGCTTGGCCTAACTACTCTAACTTTTATAGATATTCTTGAGAAGAAATATCCATAGAATCATAGAAATTTGCAGCATAGAAAGCACGTCATTCGACCTATCGAGTCTAGACTGGCTCTCAGAGCAACCTGTTCATTCAACCCTACTCACTGCCTTGTCTTATCCCTATACCCATTCCTTACCAACAACAACAACTAGCATTTATATAGCATCCTTCATGCGGGGTCGCGTCCCAGAGTGCTTGAAGTAGAACCACCTACTGCTTATGAGAGAGAGAGGATGGGATGATGGGCTTATGGTGCAGGACAGGATCTGAGCTGCAAGTTTTAAATTGTCTGCAGCCTGCCTAGATGACCTGTCTACTGCCCTGTTGAACTATGGGCTGTGTCTCTACAACAACAACTTGCCTTTATATAGCGCCTTTCACTTTGATGACTCAAGGCACCACCTACCATCTTACATAATAATAATCCTTGCATTTGATATAGTGCTTTTCACGTCTTCTAGACTTCTCAAAGTACTTCACGGAATATACTGTAAAGTGGATTGACTGAATATTTGTGGGCGAATCACGGCAGCCAATTGCTCACAGCAGTGTCCCACAAACAGTCGTGACCAAATTGAATTTTTTTTTGAGGGATTATTATCCCCAGAAAAGCGATCCGCCAATTGACTTAACAACCGGGTTCCTACTTACTGCTAAGTAAACTGAGGTGTGTGGAGTAAGGAAACTTGCCCAACATTTCGCCCTGCTGGGAATACAACCCAGGTCTCTCGCTTGCGTACCACTGAGCTACGGGACTCCACATAGTAGGTATTCCACATCCCAACAACATAGCAGGTATTCCACATCCCAACAACTCTTCAAGTGAAACAATTCTCCCAAACTCTCCTTCCGCTCTCTTGTAACTATGTTTTAACTCTGCCTCCTTGTCACTGACTCCCAGAGCAGTGGAAATACCTTCTCCATATTTACCGTGTCAAAAACCCTCATCATTTTGTACACCTCAATCGGTCTCCTCTCAATCTTTTCTTCTCCAGTGAAAACAGACATAATCTCTCCAGTCTCTCCTCACAACTGTAGCCTCTCATCCCTGACATTCAGGCACATTATACTCTCAAAATGTTTAATACAATAAAAAGTAAATTTGTAAGTCTTGCAGCAGCAGATATAATATTCAACTTTTATCCCAACTCACGCCCTCCAACGATTGACGATTATACACTGCCCTTTTACACACACTTCTGGCACTACACATCCCAGGTGTGCTATTATGGACTGACTGACACCCCTTGGTGAAAGCATTACATAGTCTGACCCTCAGGGCTAAGCATAACAAGATGACCATCTCTCCATTTTCCATCCTTCCCCAAAAAGTGAGTGTGACCCACTGGCTGACCTCAAGTGTGAGAACAACACTCTGACTCCCTTGGAGTACGGGTGATGCATTGACTGCCCCCACTCCAAGGAGGTGGTAACGTGCTGATTGACTCCACAGCGTCCTATCAAGTGTAACCCGGCTCAGTTTCTGGCACTCTCACCTCTAAGTAAGAAGGCTGCATGTCAAAACTTGGAACCCATGTAATCTCTGCTATAGTGATAGGGGAATGTTGTATTGTCAGAGGTGTCCTTCGGATGAGATGTGTAAACCAATGTCTCACTGCCCGTTCAGGAAGATGTTAAAGATCTCATGTTACTATTAAAAAAAAATAGGAGTTTCTCCCTGGGCAAAATCCCCCAAATAAAATTGGTTATTCACTTTGTGCCTGTTTGAAGGAGATTGCTGTGCACAAGTTGGCTGCTGCATTCGCCCAAAAATATACAGCCGTACGTACCACTTTACAGTATATGCTGTGAAGCACTTTGAAACCTCTTCATCACGTGATAAGGAGCTACGTCAAATGGAAGGAACATAGGAACATAAGAATAGGAGTATGCCATTCAGGCCCTCCCGAGCCTGTTCTGCCATTCTATTAGATCATGGCTGATCTGTACCTTAACCCCATCCATTGATACCCTGATTTAACAAAAAATCTATCCATCCTCAGTCCTGAAAATTTGAATTGATCCAGCATCCACAGCTTTTTGGGGAAGAGAGTTTCAGATTTCCACTACCCTTTGCGTGAAGAAATGCTTCCTGATTTCACTCCTACTCGGCCGAGCCTTAATTTTGAGATGATGCCCCCTTTTTTTTTCCTGGATTCTCCCCCGATAGTTTCTCTGCAGCCACCCTATGCAATCCCCTCATCATGATAAACACCTCGATCAGATCACCCCTTCAACCTTCTAAGCCCAACCGAACACAAGCCAGGGTGACGCAACCTCACAATTTAACCCTTTTTATAAAACCCTGGATTTTTTGCATATAAAAAAAACGAACAGTCTGCGACTGTTATCCCGATCCGTCGGGAGCAGTCTGCGTTGAGGGTCAGAATGTGCCCCTTAGGGGTAAGTAAAACACACTTAAGTGACTTCAGAGGAACGCTTGCAACTCGCTTAGTGGGGGTGAGGCTGAGAATACTCAATACCCTGCTCCTCAGGGGTGAGTGAAACATACTGACCAGCAGCCCCCCCCCCACCCGTCCAGCAGCCCCCCCCACCCGTCCAGCAGCCCCCCCCCACCCGTCCAGCAGCCCCCCACCCGTCCAGCAGCCCCCCCCCCCCCACCCGTCCAGCAGCCCCCCCCCCCCACCCGTCCAGCAGCCCCCCCCCCACCCGTCCAGCAGCCCCCCCCCACCCGTCCAGCAGCCCCCCCCCGTCCAGCAGCCCCCCCCCCACCCGTCCAGCAGCCCCCCCCCCCCACCATCCATTTACTGATCTCACCCCTCCGTTTGATTTCAGGCGAAAAGCCGAAGGTTACGGTAAACTACTGACAGACCCATTAGCAGTGAGAGCGACCGCCGACTGACTGACCCCCAGGTACGGTCCTTGTTCCTCTTCAACCTCCTCAGAGTCGGTCACGGACATTGTTGGCAGCGGCTGGAGGACTCGCACGGTGCGGCGGGTGTCCCTGAGCCCGGGCGGCGGCCCGCGGCCTGTCTGTCAGGGGGGGGGGGGGGGGGGTCGGTGCGGCGGGTGTCCCTGAGCCCGGGCGGCGGCCCGCGGCCTGTCTGTCGGGGGGGGGGGGTCGGTGCGGCGGGTGTCCCTGAGCCCGGGCGGCGGTGTCGGGAATGGCTGTGCCGTTGGTGGTGGGGGGGGGGGGGGGGGCTCGCGCTGTGGAGCGCGCCGTGGCCGTTGCTGAGACGCGCGTGTCCGGAGCCATGGTAACGGAGGAGGAGAGACGCGCGGCGTGGGGGGCGGAGCCATGGTAACGGAGGAGGAAAGACGCGCGGGGGGTGGGGGGGCGAGGGCGCGGAGCCATGGTAACGGAGGAGGAAAGACGCGTGGGTGGGTGGGGGGGCGAGGGCGCGGAGCTATGGTAACGGGGGAGGGAGAGACGCGCGGGGTGGACGGTGGGTGGGACTTGCCGCGAGCCTCGCGTCGGGCCGCCTTCCTTGCTCGGCGGGTTGGCACGAGCGTAGGTTGAGGTTAACGGCATTTTGTCGCCACACCCGTTACCTTGGGAGTCCGCCCAGAGGAGACCCGCCCATCCGAACTCTTTCCTTCTCGTTATTTTTTTTTCCCCTTCCCGCACCCGCGGGCTCCCGTTGGAGAACGACACGTCCCGGCGTGGCCTCACATTGGACGCGCATGCTCCGCTCGGCCCGGCCCGGCCCTGCCGGACCTGGGAACTTCACCTCCCGGCGTGCCCCTGGGATGCACGTGCTCTGCCCCGTCCTCCGTCAGACCCGGGGAACTGCATGTCCCGGCGTGCCCCGGGAGGGGGGGGGTACGCGCATGCTCGGTGCCTGCGTGCGAGCGCGCACGGGCGGAGGGAGAGCGCGGTGGAGCGGCGAGCGGCAGGTGAGGGGAGGGGGAGGGGGACGCCGGGTCGCGGCAGGTGAACGGCCTCACCTGCGCGGGTGCGGGTCGGTTTCGGGTCTTGGCTCATTCCGAGTAACGTCGTTGTCAGTCGGGTTGTCGGGTTTTTTTTTTGGTTCGCGGCGGTGTCGCCGAGTGGCGGCCGCGTCGCTGCTGGTCACCGGGAAGTGGGGCGACACTCTTGAGAGAGAGAGAGAGGGAGAGAGAGATACGGAAGAGATACGGAAGAGAAAGTGACAGAGAGAGAGAGAGAGAGAGAGGGGGGGGGGGAGAGGCAGAGGGAGAGTGACACACACACAGACAGGGAGAGAGTGACAGACAGACAGACAGGGAGAGGGACACACAGACCGACAGGGAGAGAGACACACAGACAGACAGGGAGAGAGACAGACAGACCGACAGGGAGAGAGTGACACAGACAGGGAGAGAGACACACAGACAGACAGGGAGAGGGACACACAGACCGACAGGGAGAGGGACACACAGACCGACAGGGAGAGAGTGACACAGACAGGGAGAGAGACACACAGACAGACAGGGAGAGGGACACACAGACCGACAGGGAGAGGGACACACAGACCGACAGGGAGAGAGACACACACACAGACAGGGAGAGAGACACACAGACAGACAGGGAGAGAGTGACAGACCGACAGGGAGAGGGACACACAGACAGACAGGGAGAGAGTGACAGACCGACAGGGAGAGGGACACACAGACAGACAGATCGGGAGAGAGTGACAGACAGACAGATCGGGAGAGAGTGACAGACAGACAGGGAGAGGGACACACAGACAGACAGGGAGAGGGACACACAGACAGACAGATCGGGAGAGAGTGACAGACCGACAGGAGAGGGACACACAGACAGACAGATCGGGAGAGAGTGACAGACAGACAGATCGGGAGAGAGTGACAGACAGACAGGGAGAGGGACACACAGACAGACAGGGAGAGGGACACACAGACAGACAGGGAGAGGGACACACAGACAGACAGGGAGAGAGTGACAGACAGAGACAGAGAATCACAGACAAAGAGAGAGACAGACAGGGAGAGAGTCAGAGACAGACAGACAGACAGGGAGAGAGTCAGACAGAGAGAGTGACAGACAGAGACAGACAGACAGGGAGAGAGTCAGACAGAGAGTGACAGAGAGAGTGTGACGGAGTGAGAGTAAGAGAGATGATAACACGAGGGGATGAGGTGGTGTGAGTGAGGAATGACGAGTGCGCGCATCTTGTGCTTTGGGGGGGAAAATAAATTGATGGCATTATGTCCAGGACGCGGACTGCTCGTGAAATGAGCTGATATCAGAGACCGGAAGGGAAACCACAACGAGAATTGGCGTTGGTCGCACAACCGTGTTGGAAGCTCTGGCAGCAGTCTGGAGCCTCACCTGCTGACATCTGCCCGAGAGCTGAGGCGCGCCACTCACTGTGGGAGCGACCGGTGGCCGAGGAAGCATTGATGGCTCAGCTCCCGCCGGGGATTCGCTTTATAACTTCATTCTCACGCAACCAGTGGTAGGTACTGCGGGACTGGGGGGGGGGAGACTCTGGGGGAACTGTGGTGTGGTGTGGTGGGAGGCGGGTGGCTAGTGGGGGTGGATGCTGGGGGAGGGGGGTGTGTGTGCGAGAGGGGGAGGGGGGTGCTGCTGGAGTAGGGGGGTGTTGGGGGACTGGAGGGTATGGGTGCTGGGGGAGGGGGGTGTTGGGGGACTGGAGGGTATAGGTGCTGGGGGAGGGGGTGTTGGGGGACTGGAGGGTATAGGTGCTGGGGGAGGGGGTGTTGGGGGACTAGAGGGTATGGTTGTTGGAGGAAGTGGGTGTTGGGGGACTAGAGGGTATGGGTGCTGGGGGAGGGGGGGTTGGGGGACTGGAGGGTATGGGTGCTGGGGGAGGGGGTGTTGGGGGACTGGAGGGTATGGGTGCTGGGGAGGGGGGTGTTGGGGGACTGGAGGGTATGGGTGCTGGGGGAGGGGGTGTTGAGGGACTGGAGGGTATGGGTGCTGGGGGAGGGGGGTGTTGGGGGACTGGAGGGTATGGGTGCTGGGGAGGGGGGTGTTGGGGGACTGGAGGGTATGGGTGCTGGGGGAGGGGGTTTGGGGGACTGGAGGGTATGGGTGCTGGGGGAGGGGGTGTTGGGGGACTGGAGGGTATGGGTGCTGGGGGAGGGGGTGTTGGGGGACTGGAGGGTATGGTGCTGGGGGAGGAGGGTGTTGGGGGACTGGAGGGTATGGGTGCTGGGGGAGGGGGGTGTTGAGGGACTGGAGGGTATGGGTGCTGGGGGAGGGGGTGTTGGGGGACTGGAGGGTATGGGTGCTGGGGAGGGGGGTGTTGAGGGACTGGAGGGTATGGGTGCTGGGGAGGGGGGTGTTGAGGGACTGGAGGGTATGGGTGCTGGGGGAGGGGGGTGTTGGGGGACTGGAGGGTATGGGTGCTGGGGAGGGGGGTGTTGAGGGACTGGAGGGTATGGGTGCTGGGGGAGGGGGGTGTTGGGGGACTAGAGGGTATGGTTGTTGGAGGAAGTGGGTGTTGGGGGACTAGAGGGTATGGGTGCTGGGGGAGAGGAGTATTGGGGGACTAGAGAATATGGATGCTGGGTTGGGGGGAGGGGTGCTGAGGGGCTGTTGGCGATGAGGTGGGGTGCTAGCAGAACGGGGGACTGCTGAGGGACAGGGGGGCTGGTGCTGGGACGGGATGTGGGGGTGCTGGGACAGGTCGTGGGGTGGGTGAGTGATGGGGGAGGGTTTGAGTGCTGGGGGAGGGGTTGGGTGCTGGGGAGGGGTTTGGGAGAGTGGGGTGGGTGAGTGCTGGGGGTGTGGTTGGATGCTGGGGAATGGGGAGGTGGGTGCTGGGACGGGAGTTGGGGGTGGGTGGGGGGAGCATTGAGGAAAAGGATGGGAAGGGGTGTGTCTACTGAGGGGCATGTGGCCTTCCTCAGGGTGCTGTCCTTGGTTGTCTCCTTTTCTTCATCCATATGTTTACATTTGGCGACATCATCTGATGGGATCCACATCCACATGTTCTAAGGTGACACCCAACTTTCTGCCCAACTCTGCATATTGACTTTAAAAGTTTAAAGTCAAATGTCTCCTTTACTTGCCCCCCACATAACCTCTGTGAGCTCCTGCGACCCTATTCCTCTGACCACTAACTCCACTCCGCAGATTCTGACCTTCATGTCCGCAGCCCTCTCAATCTGACCTTTCAGACATTTGGTACCTATTTTCTCTAAATCGCTGCACTTCAGGTCCTTTGTCTCTACATTTTTTTAAAAAAAGCTGGTAGTGTTATCCCTTGGCTCCTGTCTGACACAGCTATCGTGTACAGCCCACAATGATGTCAGCACCATAAATGCCAAGGATAATTCCCAGCCTGGGAATTGTAGACTGGAGTGGGTTTGTTGTTTTCCCTACTGTGATAGTTTTGCCTTGTGAGCTCATTGCTGTCTATCTTAATGGCATATTGCATTGTGCCATTCGGTTTGAAATTAAGATCCCAAATGCTATAAATAGTCAGAGTACAAATAGCCAGACCCCCAGAATAATCCCCCTCTCAGCTCACTCCCCAGACCCTCTTTAAAATTCTTCCTTCTCCAGCATCTATCCCCTTCTAGAAGAATTATGCTCACTTACTCAGCTATTTTTAATGTATTTTAAAGTTTATATTTAATTTATGTTTCAGTGTGGCTGAGCTGTTTAAGAAAGCTTTGAATCTTTAGGTAATTGGTTGGGTGACAGATGAGGTTCAATTCGAGTTTTGTATCCCAAGAAACTGTAGCCCAGGATGCCATTAGGCATCGTTCCTGTAATTCCATTCCTTGCTCTCTCCCCATCATATCTGTGCTGGTGCTCGCTCCCCACTGGAGATCTCTACTCTAATCCTGTTCCCTGCTCTCTCCCAATCGTGTCTCTGCTGGTGCTCACTCCCCCACTAGTGGAGTGGTGGTCAGATTGAATAGCACTAATTTTGGGGAAATATTGTGTTTTTCAGCTACAGAACATTCACTCTGATTCTCACCTTCCTGCTCTACGCCAGTTACCACCTCTCTCGCAAACCAATCAGCATTGTCAAGGTGAGTGAGTCAATCGCTACTGTGTG